ACAATATCTCTTCTTGAAACTGGTATATAATTAAAATACAAACAGTTAATATAGAATGCTTGCATCTTAAACTTCTAAAGTGTCCAGATAGATCATGGTGAGTTTGACAAACTATTCTAATTAAGACACAGTTAAATTTTAGGCCTAATGACAGTGATATTCTAAAAGGTATATGACTTGGAAGTTTTTCCATTTTTCCATTCTTCAGAATAAGCGTATAGCATCACACATCACCCTGTCATGTGCCTGAATGCTCACCACCTACATTCCTATTGTGCTATCTTTCAAAAAACATTACACACTTCTGTCAACTAGTCTAAACTGCTTCCTGTAAGTGGTAAGGCTTAAAAAAATTTCTTTTTCTGAAACCCACCAACTGTTTTACACATTAAATAGTAATAAAGTTCTATAGGAGCTTGTTGGACAACATTCAAGTGTTTAATGAGTCAAAGCCTACTCAGCTATTCATATATCCTTCATCCATGTATTCAGATTTCACCAAATACCTACCATGCACATGCACTATTAGTTTTTCAACTTTGATAGGGCATTATTTAATTCCAGAGGTTTGCCATGAATGCTTCATTCTGAGACAGGAGAGGAAATGACAATCGAGGGTCTCCATAGACATGTAAATGAGGAGTGTATTTGTCAAAACTTGTGGCTTCTCTCTACTGCATTAACAAAATGTCTAGAAGCCAGTTTCCTCACCAGCATTTAATTTCTAAGACAAATACTTTCTTAAATTAAAAACAATTATGACAAAAGGCCATGAAATTAAGTAATACTTGGAGTCTGGATGACACAAATTCTGTGCTAGTCTTTTATTTTCTCAGCTCAAGATGATAATTGTGCTGCTTGTTGTTCAAATTTACAGGCACCAAAATGTCTTCTAACTAGAAACTCTTCTTGAGTGGGGTTGGATTAACTTGAGCAACAGAATTTGAAGATGAATGAAAAAATAATATATGGGTGAAATTATTTCATTGTTATTGAATGCTTTAAATGGTACTGCTTAGTGGTTAAGGGTGTGAACTTTAGAGTTTAAATTTAGACCCCACCATTTAACTAAATTTGTAAAAACTTCAGTTATTTAATGTCTTTAAGTTTCAGTTTATTCATCTGTAAACTATGGATATTAATACATCTATGATGGAGTTTTTGAGGGCTAAATAAGATTCAATACACAATAGGTGCCTTGCACACAGTAAATCCTTAATTATCTAAAAAAAGTATTATACTTTGCTTTTATTGATTTCTCTCCTGATTTCCTTTCTTCCCAAATGAATTCACCATTTTAAACTTATCAATTTGTTTCTTACAAACATAAATTAGAAATACCTTTGATTTTTATCTTATTGGCTCTGAGTTTTGTCTAATAATGAACACCAATATTCACAGGAGGCCCACAGGTTTGAAGAGGCTTACATCAGCAGAAACAACTCAAGCATGGGCTTAATGGAACAAAGACAGTACAAAAAGATAAGAGGCAGGGTGAGAAAAATACAGTTGCCAACACAGGCTACCATTTAAGGAAAAGAAATAATGATTCAGAGGATAGACCCAAAACCCAGAGGGCTGAGCCAAGAGCTAAGGAGACTCACCCTGATAAGTAAAAGCACCAAGTCTGCAACAGGAGAACTTCCAAGCATTTGCCCAAATGGATTTCAGAATTGCTATGGGCAAGTTACTCCTTTATAACCCAAATTTTCCCTTTTTTGCCTGTCCCACCACTTATTTCTTTAGTTCTTAGGTCAATAAACTTATCTCTTTAGTTTTTTAGGTCAATAGATTGAGAGGAGGAGCTGAACTTAAGGAATTACACCCCAAGAACAGATTTATACACCTGGACCAGATTTCGGTGAAATTCTGGATTCAGGCATATAATATGGTACTGGAATGAGACTTTTGCAGGGGTGTTAGGAGGTGGGTATATTTTGTAAGTGGGAGGAAGGTAAATAAACTATGACAGACTGTAGTGTTTTAAAATAAATTGTGAACAGAAAGTGAACAAGCCTCCCTTCATAAGATGCAACTTAATTCCTGTCCTCTTTGTATGAGCTGAACTTAGTGACTCACTTCTAACTAATAATCATGGTAAGAATGGTAGTGTTTAATGTCATAAAAGGTGCTGCAGGCTCCTCTTTGCTTCTCTAAGATACTTTGGAAGAGAACACTCTTAACAGCTTCAGGTAAAGGTCCATGTGGAAGGTACTCTGGCCTTTTGTGAATGACCCTCGGGGCCAGTCGAGCCTTTAGATGACAGCAGCTGGGCTGATGTCTTGACTGTAGCTTCATAACAGACATTGAATCAGACTACTTATCTAAGCTACTCTAAATTCCTGACTCACAGAAATGATGAGATATTTAAAGCTTGTTGTTTTAATCTGCTAAATTTTGGGGTAATTAGTTATTTAGCAAATAGAGGCCCGGTGCATAAAATTCATGCAAGGGAGAGGGGTGTCTCTCAGCCCAGCCTATACCCTCTCCAATCTGGGACTCCTCAAGGAGTGTCCAACTGCCTGATCAGGCCTAAACGGGCAGTTGTACATCCCTCTCACAATCCAGGTCTGCTGGCTCTCAACTGCTTGCCTGCCTGCCTTCCTGATTGCCCTTAACCACTTCTGCCTGCCAGTCTGATCATCCCCTAATCACTCCCATGCCAGCCTGATTGATGTCTATCTGCTCCCCTGTCATCTTGTTTGCCCTCAACTTCCCTCCTCTGCCGGCCTAGTAACCCCTAACTGCCCTCCCCTGCAGGGCTGATTGCCCCCAACTGCCCTCCCTTGCAGGCCTTGTCCCTTCCAACTGCCCTCCACTGCTGGCCATCTAGTGGTGGCTGTATTGTGTCCACACAGGAGCACAAGGGGACAGCCATCTTGTGTGTTGGAGTGATGGCCAATCTGCATATTACTCTTTTATTAGATAGGATAGAGGCCTGGTACATGGGTGGGGACCAGCTGGTTTTCCCTGAAGGGTGTCCCAGATCAGGGTGGGGTTTCCCTTGGAATTTGGGGAGACTTGGGTGAGGGTCCTATGGTAGTTTGCAGGCTGGCCATGCCCCCTGGCGACACAAGCGGAGGCCCTGGTATCTGGGGTGTATTTATCTTCCTCAGCTGAAACTTTATAGCCTGGAGCAGAGTCAAGCCTCCTGCTTGCTCTGTGGATGCCGCCATTTCTGTTGGAATTATTTACCTTCTATAATTGAAACTTTGTATCCTTGAGTGGAGGCCTGGGCCCACCAGAGTGTGTGGAAAGCTTGGCTTCCTCCATTGCCAGGGAAACCCAAGCCTCCCTCCTGCTCTCTGTGGCTGCAGCCATCTTGGTTGGAGTTAATTTGCATACTCTCTCTGATGGGCTGGTGGACATGGCTTGTAGGTGTAGCAGAGTGGTAGTTAATTTGCATATTACTTTTTATTAGATAGGATAGGCAACTATTATAGGCCACTATGTATAATTTCTTTTATTGAAAACTTTGTTGATAAACATGGCAGAAAAACAGAATTTTACACTTTCACAAACAAGATTTTAAATTCACTAGCAAAAATCTAGGGGGAAAATGATCAATCTATAATTCTTTTAAACCTTTGTTACTCTCTGGGCTAAAGATTATCACTCTTGCTATATAAATATAGAAGTAACAACATATATATTGTCCCTTTCTCATTATTTTATTAAGTTCCTCAAGGCACAAGTAAAATTGATACTTTTAAGCCAAATTACAAATCAAAATACATCAATATTAAAATTTAGATAATCTACTCAAAGATATGCTCAAGTGAGGATTAACATACCGTATTTTCCGGCGTATAAGACGACCCCCATAATTTTACAGTTAAAACATAGGTTTAGGCCTATATTCGCTGTATAAGACTACTCCTCCCCTGCACCCTCCTTCAGAGGCAACACCAGTTCTTTTTTCAATAGACCACCTCTCTGACTCTGGCCAATCTGAGCAGGCTTTTTACTAGAACACAGTGTACATGTTGAAGCTACACTTAATAATAATAATAATAAATTTAAGCTATATTTAAATTTCTCAAAGCTTGCATTGCTTTTATAACTTGTATTTGCTTTTTATCTAGGCCACTGGTATAGAAGAATTACTCAGAGTGGAATTCCCCTTTGGCTTTGGACTTAACCTCTATGATTAAATTCACAAGGGCACAACAAAAATGATTTACCAGGGCCACCTCAGGCGGTTCTGTCTTGGTGCTTATTTTAGTACCTAAGTTGGAAACCTAATATAATCCTAACCTGGGCATCATGTGTCTATGTGTGCTGAACTCTGTCTGCCTTAAGGGGACCATGACTTTCATTTCACATAAGGTCTGAATTAATTTGCATTTTAAATTAAGCTGTTTTCTCATTATCTATTACTTATACATGACCTTTGAAATTCCACTAAGGGTAAGAAAACTTGAATATAATTTGTAAAGTCTGGATACTACTGTGCAGACAGAATTTTCATCCTGAGTTTAGATTGTAGTCCACTTTTAATCTAATTAGTTTGGTGTGTATGCATGCATGTGTGTCCGCATTAGGTATATGTAACACGAGGCTGCCCAATTTTAGATCTCAAAAACCTTAAATCTTCGTAAATGCTGCTCTGATTGTCGAAGTACCCAAAGGAAGAAGAAAATATGTGCATGAGATGTACCTCATTCCTTTCTTGGTTTCTAACACTTCAATAATGCCTTTGATTTCTTCAGACATATTCAGTCTGAATTGGTTGTCCTTGAGCTCAGATGTATCTTTCAATGAAAGATCCCAAAAATCACCCAGAGAAAATTAACACCACCAAGACAATACTGTTTTGTTATTAAAGTCTTGCAAATTAAATATCTAAATTAGGTGTGTATTTTGCATCTGCAAGATGGGGGCACCTAATCACTCTTCCCCTATCCCTCTTCTAAACTGAGACTTAAGATACCTCTCACGTCACTGTATCAATGTTTCCAAAGAAGAGGAAAAAGTATAGCCTTATTATTTCAACTCACAGGACTTTGCAAGATCTGAGTAACTCGTTTCCTCTGTTCCATCATATTGAAGTCTTGTCGTAGATCAGGAGACATGTTCCTCTCTCTGATGTATTCTGGGTCATTTTCATTGATGCGGTCAAAATACCTCTCTTTGTGAGGCATGCTGGGAGGGGGAGGAGTAGTGATCACGCCTTGGCTGGCATCTGAACTCATGCTTCAAGCTTGATGATTCCCCTTATCTGTATTAATAAACCCAAAGAAGGACATTAATGGTAAGGTAAATTTGTTATAAAATTAAAATTTTACATGGGTCAAGCAGAACCTCCCTCTCCCCTTGCCCCCCCCCTCCACCCCGATCCCTAGAGTAAGTAGTAACTTTCTTTAAAAAGTAACTTCTCAACAAAATATCAGATCAATTTTTTAATTAAGTTAAAAAATGTCTTAAATTATAACGCTAAATTGGAAATTGATATTTTTAGAGCTAATGGAAACTTGTGGTTCAATTATAATAATGTCACAATTTTTAAAGGAAGTAATGATCAAAATACACATGCCACATCTAAAATGGCAAATTTCCACAATTAGTGAGTACTGTCCATAGAGCTCTTTTCTCTCAGTTATGGGGTTTTGTTAGACCAAACTTTGGCCAGATTTAAAATCCACTACATTTTGTAGTGAATATAATTTACTGACATGAGAGAAAAATGCTTTAAGATTTTTGAATGAGTCAATAAGTTCCCAGGGAAAATGTAGGAATCACTAAGATTGCTAGACTACATGACTTCAGCAAGATAGTACTTCAAAAATCCAAGTAAAGAAACAATGAAAAGCTATTAAAAAATCACATGAACAGCTGATTCACTTAATTATCATGATTATCACTGATACTGAGGATTAGTTTTGATTTCATGCTAGGGAAACAAATTCATTTGGGCTTTGCTACAACTGAGCACCTAACCAACTATAGCTAGATCAACAGGATAGGCATGTAATATTCCTCCCTCACCCCCACCTGGGATCTCTGTGTTAGAAGTTGAAGTCATCTCCAATGTACTGTGGGCCAATATTTTTGTAAAATACAAAATTATGCATTAGATATCTTGGCAATGTCAAACTGCAATAAGTTTCTAAACACATAATATCACATTTGTACTTGCCACAGACAGTCTAATGTGCAGACTGGCACTAGATTCAAAACCACACTTAGAGGAGCAATGACCTAGCAGAGAGTAATAGTCACTGCCAACTAAAGGAATGCTTCCTGGAGTTTTTAGAAATGATATGGCAATAAGCCTAAATCAAGAGAAAGAAAGACAGACCACTGACGGTGTGTTCTTTTTCCTAGTTGTTCTTTTGAACTGAATATAGAAAATGCAAAAATGTGCAAGAAGGAACCAGAAAAGGAAACAAAAAGGAAATTGCAAAAATGAATTTGCTTAACATAAATTTCTCTACAGAACGTGACTTCCATTCCTACAACCTGTTCAATATAAATGAGTGGGCAACAAAAAAAAAACCATTCTGACTAACTGCAAAGTGGCATTTTTAGAGTAATTATTTGGTGGGAAGAATCATTTCTTAATAAGGGGAATTAAATGTAAAACATCCAAGTATTCTTTTTCCATTTACGTCAAAATCTAAGGGAAGAGAAGTTTCTGTGGACCCACAACTCTGCAAATTCCACAACCTCCAAGTGCCAGCAGAACACTTCTAGTTAGATCCAGAAGGGGAAAGCAAAAAAGGTCAGTTCATCTTAGAGATCTGAATCCCCGATAAAGACCGGAGACATCTGGTCTCACTTTTAAACACTGTTAACAACCAATTTGTCTCTAACAAATTAGTCTTCTGTAATAGACTTCATCTCTAAAGCTGCCTTGACCCAACTTAACCCATGAAAACGTAAGACATTAAAACTTCTTGCATTAATTCTGATCTTAGAAGTGTAAACTCCTTCTGTTTAAAAACAATTTTTGCCGAAACAGGTTTGGCTCAGTGGATAGAGTGTCGGTAGGTCTGCGGACTGAAAGGTCCCAGGTTCGATTCTGGTCAAGGGCACGTACATTGGTTGTGGGCACATCCCCGGCAGGGGGTGTGCAAGAGGCAGCTGGTCGATGTTTCTCTCTCATCAACATTTCTAGCTCTCTATCTCTCTCCCTTCCTCTCTGTAAAAAATCAATAAAAATATATTTAAAAAAAAGAAGTTTCCAAGTTTTATGAACATGGAATAAGAATTGGCAATTTATATAAAAGATACAGAATAAAGAATAAGAATAGTAACTTCTCCTTTTACATAGATTTTAAGCCAATCATAAGCACAACTGATTAACTGCAATTTTGTGCACCACGTACTACAGATTGAACTGCATTTCAAGCTTTGAAAACATTTAGGACCCACAAGATTATCTGAACATAAACAAAATTCAAAAAAATATGGGAGAAGCTTGCAGCATTATTTTCAGTAGCCAAGATAACAAATTAAGGGTTGATGAATGAGCAGACTTTTAAAAATGAAATATATATACAACAGAATACTATTCAGCCATAAAGAGAAGGAAATCCTGTCACTTTCAACAACATGGGTTGACCTTGCGGGCATTATGCTAAGTGACTTAAGTTAGACAGAAAAAACGTGTACATAAAATGTTCATAGCTGCACTATTCACAATAGCCAAAAGGTGGAACCAACTCAAATTCCATCAACTGATGAATGGATAAACAACAAATGTAGTATTATCCACATAATGGAATATTATTCAGGGGAAGACTGCTTAACGGGTACTAGGATTTCTGTTTGGGGTGATGCAAAAGTTCTGATTCTAGAGCATGTGATGGCTGCACAACATTGTGAATATACTTAATGCCACTAAATTGCACACTTTAAATAGTTAAAATAATAAATTTTATATTCTGTGTATTTTACCACAATAAAAAAAATGAACTCAAAATGAATCACAAACTGAAGTATAAAACTAGAAGAGAAAATTTCCAGATCTAGAGCCAGGCAGAGTTATTAGACTTCACACAAAACCATGACTTACAAAGGAAAACTGATATATTGGACTTCACCAAAATTTAAAATATTTGTCTGCAAAAGATTAAAAAACAAGCTACAGACCATGAGAAAAAATTTGTGAACCACAGATCCTACAAAGGACTAGTATGTATGATATATAGAAACTCTCAAAACGTAACAGTTAAAAACATAAAACATAAAATTCAATTAGAATATGGGAGTCTTACATCTTTACTATACTGCCTTACAAGAAGAATGCTTCAAGCGAAGTAAATGGTAGATTCTATTTCCTTTTAACCCTGAACGACAAAACCTAATATTTCTGTTTCCAGGTGATATGTCAAACAACTTTTCTTCAAAATGAATTAAATCCTATTTTTAGTACCACACTACTACTACTATACACAATCAGGCTTCCTAGGCTTCAGAGCAATATAAATCAGTGCAAACCAGTATGAACTCTATTACAAATAAATAAATAAATAAAAAATCAGTCTTTAACAGTGTTTTTTTTTAACTGAAAATGCTGTGGAAAATAGATTTTTAGAAAGTGATGTTATAAAACTTGTCAGCACTATGGGTTTTCCTCTGACCATGCAGATTACTAGACACAAGATATGAAGCATAAACAAAATTCTAGTTTTAAAAATCTTATTCAAATATTTATGCAGTCACTATTCAGCATGTATGTTTAAAGAACATTATGTTCAAGACACAAATAGATGAAACACTCTAGAACGGTAAGCTTTTTAAAAATGGCAATCAGCAATAGAAATATACTTTATGTTATAATCATGTAAAATTCATGAGATATATAACAAATAAATTCATGACATACTTTCCCTTACTATGTAGTATATTCTAATACTTTGTTTTTTAAAAATGTGGGTCACACTGATTCATAATCTGTAATGAGTTGTGACCCACAGTTTGAGAAACACTATCCTAGAAATTCGAGTGATGGTCAGATGGGAAACAGAAAAATAGGAAAGGGAGGGAAGGAGAGTGAGAGAGAAAGGAGAGAGGAATAAGAAGAGAGAGAGTTGATGAACAAGGGGAAAGTGAATATGTGCTAAAGAGTTAGAAGAAAATAAGAAATGATTCATTGATTTATATGAATTAAATGTTTATGACAGCTTATAGAAATAAGGTCTTAGTGATTTGTGGGATAATTAAATTCTCCTCCATTTGGTCAGGCAGGAAGTACCATCAATGCCAGATTTCCACCCCCCCTGACTCTAATCTACTTCTAGTTCAATTGTCCAGATCTCCTTGCACATGTTTGTAGTCTTCATAATGGTAGAATGCTCCATAAGTGGCAGCTGAATTGAATTATTTTACTATATCACAGCTCCTTCTATATAAATCTGGTTTGTATTATTTCTAGGCTGGGAATGATAAACACAATCTTATGAAAAGTTATTACTTATGAAACGTCTTTCCAAACTTAAAATTCTTGGCAGTTTTAACAGCTTTCTCTAGAATATAAGCAGCAAGATGGCTCTACTTTCAAGTACCAGGCCTAATGTTCTATATTTAAAACAATAATCAGATATGACAAGATGTCAAAAGGACATTTGGTAACAACAACAGCTTTTTACTGAGTTAGAATTTTTCTTAATAAAAGTTACTATAACTTTTTGAAGGTATTTAAAGTTCTAGAAAACAAATTGGACTCGGCACAAACTTTGACAAGTCACATCCTCATATTGGTCAATGAAATTTAATTCATTTTAAATTCAAAAAGACATGAAATAGTTCCAACTGCTAGCCAAATTTTTATATATAGCTGACATAGATTTGAAAAAATAGATAAAAGTCAAGGAAAATGTAAAACAAACTGGCATTGAGTATAACTGATCAATACAAATGACACTTTCTAAGTGCCTAATGGAAGATTTAATTATCCCACAAAGCACTTATTGCTATAATGCTATTGATTCTATGACAGCTGTCTAGGAATATTTCAGACTAGATTTAAGAATCACATTGTACAGATGAGATGAAACTATATTCAGAGATGTTGAGAGCTTTTTCTAAAGCTATACTGCTCAAGCACCAATGATTACTATGTCTTAGAGGTTATCAAAATGACATTAATTGTGCCCTGGGTAATAATAAACAATACTCAAGTTTACATTTTTACCACTCAAGTTAATTTGGCATCATTTTGAAAGAGTTGATGGCCTTTAACTATTTA